ATCAATCCAGATGGCGGTAAACCAATACAAGTGTTGTGTGACATGACCACGGACGGTGGAGGTTGGACAGTTTTTCAGAGACGTTTGGACGGTTCTGTTGACTTCTATCTTGGTTGGGAATTCTACAAAAACGGGTTTGGAGATCTGAACGGAGAGTTCTGGCTTGGAAATGACAATCTTCACCGTTTGACAGCTGCTGATGACGTCATACTGAGAGTTGACCTGGAAGACTTTCATGGAGACATCAGATATGCTGAGTACACGACTTTTGATGTGGCAGACGAGACAGATGAGTACCGACTTTTGATTGGAGGATACCGTGGCACTGCTGGTGACTCGATGATAGACCATAAGTAAGAGATATAAAAATAAGAGTAAGAGATAATAATTCACATATCGTATTTTTGTTTTGAAACAGCCGTGTCAGAATTCTTCCAGTGATTCCACCACACTAGTTTAAAAGCATTTGGTAATCATTGTATAATATACACGGCTGGCAAGTAAGTATATGTAAACGATTCGATGACCGTAATAACAAAGCGAAAGAAGTAGTTAGGTCGATTTTACCGAGTTACCATCAATTTCATTGATACGCGACCCTCCAATCAAAACTCCTGCAAGCATTTGGCGATTCGATTCCGTCAATCATGCACTCTTTATATGGTGTTATAGGTTTGTTTTCTTTTTCTCATCTCTGTATCTCAGACTGGCAGGTTTGCTGCCGGGTAACACTCTATTAATTTTCTTTTAGTGGTATGCAGTTTTCTAAGAATGATAACGACAATGACGAACACCCGAATCTCAGCTGCGCAGAGAAGTACAGAGCAGCCTGGTGGTACAAAGGCTGCCACTGGTCCAGTCTGAACGGACTGTACCTGGACAGACCACATTCTTCCCAGGCCGATGGATTGAACTGGCGCATGTTTGGAGACCTCGTGTCTTCACTAAAACGTTCTGAGATGAAGGTTAAACGAAATCCTAAATCTTTGAATTAGGGTACAGACTCCGTCACACAGAAGCTGTAACAAAGACGAAAAGTCTCTGGAGAATTTACTGTATTATTTTGAGTTGTCAAGCTTTACCTTGAAAAAAATTATCATCTATAGCAAAGGAAATTACTATTTCGTTAAGTGTATCCCTTTTAGATAATTTGTTTGGTATGTTTAATCGTGAGAAACATTTGCTTCTTGTAAGTCCCATACAGTTACTCAGTGTACCTTTTGTCTATAGCTGTAAATACTCCAAACTTATTCCTAACCTGGTAGTTTTGTAAGCAAAGTTGAAAGCTGTCCATAAACTAGGATTATATGTTGCAAAAAGTAATGGAATACCGAATACAAATTTGGAAAAATGAGTACCTCTTTTGTTGTTTGTATCTTGACAACTTTAAACGACATTTTATGCTTTCCTTTTTCTTTCGTCTTTTATGTAACTTATCCCACTCCCCAAGCAGCATAACTCTGTAAAAAGATATACTTTGAACTTAGCTTAGCCAACAATTCCTTTGTTAATAACACTTCACATGCTATGCTTTCTATTTTGTTTTGTAATATTATTGTATTGTCATAAAATATTATTTGCGTGTTGTAAGTAGCCCGGTAGTGGAAGTTTCCTTTTTGTATTATTGTAAATCCACTGTAGTATTGTTAACCATTAATGGTTATATAACTTAAAAAAAGAAAAAGAAAACCGCCTGTTTATGATGGTGGAGTAAACATGCATAATTTGGGCTTATCAGATTGCTTTTCCCTAAAACGCAGAGATGAAAGATAAAAATTAAGTCGAAATCTTTGGACTTTGTCAGGAGGAAATCATCTGAGTAGACACCAACTATTTATCAATACAATACCATACCGTGATACCATACCCTACCATACTATACCATACCATACAATACAAGTTTATTGTCTCAAACGCTTAGCTATTCAGGTGTGAAATGAAACGAAACACCAGCTGTAGCAGCGGTTTCATCCGCAATCAACATTTAGCGTAAGGATGTGCTTAGGGACACTTCGCAACCGCTATGTAGCATTTATTAGTTGATAATTTAATAAGGCAACTTCTGAACAAGGTTTTGTTCAGTCTAAATTCTAATTCTAAATTCTACTACTCGCGTGTTATATTATCACATTGTATTCCGCACCCTTTACCCTTATTTCTATAGAGACTGACTGTTATGGAGACTGGGTCACACCAAGTAATAGGTAAATGTTTCCATTATGAAAGATCTAGATTTGATACTACGATGTTTTTAATTTGTGATTTTAATTCAGGGACCAAACCGTGTTTCAAGTTTCGATCCTCTACTGATTGCGATACAAAGCGTTCTAAAGTTAACAACTTAGAAAATACAATTCAGATCACGAAAGCTAACTTAGTAACTATAATCAATAATTAATGTTGGTTACAGCTCCAACATATGTATTGACTTGAGTCATACCCAACTCAACTCACCTAGCCAGGGCATAAATGATTCCCTGTCAAAGAAAAATCTAAGAGCAGACATGTATTTACATGGGCTTCTAGCCTCTGTAATGATCACAGCTACAAACGGAATAACAAAAATGATAACGTCAAACTTCAAAGGCGTTAACTTTGCTAAAGAAATAAGAGGAAGAAGACTCAATGGAAGCGTTACTAGAGAAATGGAAGTAGAGTCGGAGGGTTCTTGTCGACTGCAATGTGTGGAAGGGACTGACTGACGGTCGTATAACTTTGGACCCAATGAAGATAAGAAGAATTTCAAGTGTCAACTGAGCAGGTCAGATCGATTTGTTGACTTGAAGAATTTCACCGAAGACCATGAATTTCTCTACAGAGGAATAAAGGTAATTTCCTTTAAAGGTATAAAACAGAACTCAAACATCAGAGAATTGAATTGCACGCTGTTGTGTTATAACATGTTGATTTGCAGTCCTGGGTAAAACGATGACAGAAATATTATGGTACATATCTGTATGTTTAACACTTTGTATATTTTTCACTCTTTCAAAGCTCAAACTTTTATTTTTATTCTATTATCAAGACAATTTGTTGTATCATTAACATTTCATTATAACATCTCTTTCGATTTAAAAACCTTTTTGTTACTTGTTTAGCGTTTACAATAAAGCTGTGTAGGGACGGGTCTTATGTCAGAAATACACGTGGGCGGAAAACATTTGACGCGTTTTCAGCCTACGATCATCGAGGGAAATTGGAAGCTATTGTGTTTATTATCGTTCAAATATTTTCCGCAAACTCATTAATAATTCATCAAGTTTAAACAAAGGAAATCATGACCGTGACGGTGTATGTATATCTGATCTTAATTAGCATAGATTTTACGATTTTATTTTTCCGTTTTCTCTTTAGTTTTAGTTTTGATTGAGAAGATATATCAAACACTAAAGACAATGTTTTACCACATAACCAACCACCGCAAAGTTCGTCAAACATACTCTTCTACGCGTCGTATTTTCAACTCTGAGTCAACTCATATCTCGGTGTTTTGAGATGTGGTCAAACATGATCTTTCGTACTTGATAAATTACTTTGCAACACGCAGGATCTCTTGAAAATGTGGAGATATCACTCGGATATTTCCTAATTTCATCTGGGGCATAGCCAGTCAGGAGAGTCGTCTAGACCAATCTCCAAAGAGCGAAAATATTTGATGGATTTGTAATAATATGTAGCTTCGCATGAATAAATTCCAGCTAAAGAAAGTTGGAAACTGGCCTACGGTGAAAATTTTCAGTGAAGTCCTCCATAACGAAACATATGAATACCACTTCGGGCATTTCTGCTTAAAATTCGCTTTGTTAAATACGTTACTGAAGGTAGGAAATCTAATCGAACAGTTTTGGTTAGAGATCAACCAGGGGATAAGTCTAGGAAAGAAAACAGCGTTGAAAAACAGCGAAGAAAACAGCGTTGAATTTGTAAGAATCTATCCAGTCAAGTCATGTTTCTGCAGAGCCGAGTTTTTCTCGTGCCCAGGCCCGCCGGTTTAGAGAGACAGATGGCTCTGGGGACTAGGATGTTAACAGTTTAGACAGGAAAAACACAACCTTCAATTCAGAAGCCACCATTTACAGCTAGGGAATAGAACGAGAGATAACCAGTAGAAGACGTTACATGTAATACAGGCGAGCAGAAAAAAAACAACAACTGACAGGTCTAATACAATTACATAGTAATTAAGTAATTAAGTAATTAAGTAATTAAGTAATTAAGTAATTAAGAAAATTTCACCGAATTTTACTCAGTGATAGGAAGAAAAACTAGCCTCAGGCTCGACTAAACTTGATTAATTGAATGGGAAACACAATACACACCAGATAACAACTAAAGGGAACACATTTTTCCACGTTATGGCAAGTATTTTTTGGAAGACTTGGTGTTTGGTATAGAACTTGCAGTTCTGCAAAAACCGTGTAAGATCAGCGCTTGCGCTACGTGAGATCAAGGTAGATCGTGACCAGACCAAAAAATAAGACACTTTAAGGAATACCGTAAAAGTCGGCCAAACAACGTGAGACGCGTGAATACAATATTTCGGCTGGCCATCACCAGCCTTCTTCAAGCAAGTTTACATGGGATATATATGAAGAACAGAAGTGATCTGAGCTGCCTACGTGATGTGTAAAAATAAGAATTACAAAATAACAATTAAAGGAAATGTAGTACAATAAAGATAACAATTTACGGTGAAATTTACATTTCAGCTCTTTTGTTGAGGCGTACAGGCTCTGGTGTGTTGGCTCGGTAAATGAGGAATGCCTCACGTGCCTTTCTTATGTAATCACGAATAGACTTAGTTTTAGACTCAAAATAAATTGAAGGTTGAAGAAACGATCGTATATACCCCGCTCATGTGAACTGCGGTGAAACTACTTCAACACGAGTATCATTTTATTGACCAAAACCTCATGACTTATATATTTAATAATTATTACATAGCTATCTTGGCGAGCAGGCCAGATGAGCCTATTCCTGCGTTTTGATTGGCCAGCCAAGCGTTCCAAACGAGGAATCTTACCCGCACGGGATTACCCGCTGCTTCACGAAGAAAACGGTTTTCTTTGTACCATAAAATAAATCTATTACTGACCAGGTTTGGTCGGTCAAGATGGTTGAACATAAGCCTTGCGTGTTTATGGACCTTGACAGCGCCACGGTCCATAAACACATGTAACGATAACTTGGCCAATGTCCTGCCATTGTTATTAATAACTCCTAAAACTCAATAAGAATTACGGAAGGCCACCTTGGCAGATATCATGGTTGTCAATTATTTCGGATAGCTTTTATACTCTGTAAAGATGAAGGTAAACGGCCGACCTCGATCTTCCGCCAAGTTTTGCTAGCCAATCAAAACACAAGAATAGGCTCATCTGGCCTGCTCGCGAAGAAATCTATGTAATAATTATTGAATATATAAGTCGTAAGCTTTTAGTCATCATCTGCCAAGTTCTACCAAGTTTTCTCTGATATGGCAGCACTTAAATGCAAATGTGCATGTGTAAATAAAAGTACTAAATGTGACACAGAGGGTGGCAAGTCTGTGTAATAATTGTTTTATTTACATGCATATTGCCGTGAATGTATAATTATAAGGTTTTTGGCTTAAGCTAGTTTTGTCTAGAAATTTCTTGAACCAGCTGCTTTGCTTCGGAAACGCAGGAACTTAGTACTAAATCAAACAAATTTATAAAATTTCAAAACAAACAGTCAACATAAATTTGAGACATTCATTGTACACATCCAACGAAAAGCGTGCAGTGTCCAACTACAGCACCAACTGACTTAGAATATAAAATTATGGACAATTTATTCCAAAATAAATAGAGTCGCTCATTATAACGGCCCAATGAATAAAGAACTGTAGAAAGAGCTGTAATTATCAAAAGGCTTTCATTTCCAACACCTGCTGTAAACGTGAAATTTGCGTGCCAATTGCAAATTGACGAGCCTCAAACAAAGAAAAGAAAATATTTTTTGAAATGCTGCTTTTGAAGATACTCCTCATTTT